TTCGGTTTATCAGGAGAACAATTTTACTGTCAATCATATTTCTATGTCACTGCTGCTTTCAGCACAGCAGATTTCCACCAATACTCAAGGGATGTTTTTTTTTCAATGAATGGTTGACAACATACAATCTGGAAAAATGCGTTATTTAACCTCTTTAACGCCTTTTTCAACGTAATTAGGCGTGAGTAAGGTGTGATCACACACTTGCTCTTTACCCTAGTGGCAGTTACATGCAATATTTCCGTCAATTTATACCATATCTTTTTGCTTATCCTCGGGGGCGGAGCTACGTCACCGACGTTCCACGTTGCTAAGACGCGCACCACTGTACCATGCATTTCTATGGGCTCTGTGCGCGCTGCTGTGGAACGCCGATCGAGCCGGTGAAAATTCGAGAAAACAACACAAACTCAACTTTGAAATAATCCCGAACAATCAAATTTATATATGTTACACACGTAGGGCTAATCTTGTTGCACTGTTCAGAGGAGTCTCAACAATCATCCCAAAGTACTGTTTTCTGCGAGTTTTGGGCCTTTGTTTTCACCGCCGCGGGTTGCCAGGCGGTGAAAATGCCCGGATGTCCACCCCGAGGATAACAATATAGTCAAAATTCGATGAATTGTACATCATTTGATAAAATTGACTTCGACACGTTTAACATATGTGGTGATCTATTGATCTATCTTTCTATTTGCAAGTTAATTCCAGGAGTTTGCTGCTTCAATCATTTGTTCTCGAAAGCACAGGTGTCTAACATATGTTCCCAGCTGCTTTCAGCATTTTTCTCCCTGCATTTGATTTCTTTTGTAATTACCTGAAGTAGCTTTATGAATCTCATTATAATTATAACGATGACAGGACATAACAAATCACGATATGTTTGAACAGCATTAAAAGGGCTAAATTGCACAAGAAAACTGGTAGAAAAGTTTTCGTAAAAAAGGAATGGCCATATAACCAGATATTACCGGCCCCTGAGCAGACTCCACCATTACCAAGCTCAATATTTCAATCCCCCGATCTCTGCAGACCACTGTATAAACTGTATAAATCATAAACACGTATGTGTACACAATATGCACGAAATAGCATCTTAATAAGGGAGGGGTGAATCCATAGATAGATTTGCCATTTTTGGAAATGACGACTGGAAACAGTCAGGAAGCCTGAAGGAGTCTTGCTAATATTTTTTTTTTCAAGATATTATTTAATAAATTTATTTTTCTTTATATAAATGTCAATTTCAGGGCAACAGTAACCAATATCATAAATGTGTTGATGGCTATTTCACTCGCGCTATAAGGTTAAACGTATCAAACGCGAACGCGCATGCGCTCTGTTCAATACATATTTGAATGAATATACTGACACAAAGAGTCAAAAGTAGATGATTTGGTTTCAGTTCTATAAGTGGCTTTTTCTGTGTACTGTTTCAAAATGGAATATGTGTACGGCATATAATATTTATAAAATGCAGTTGAATATAATCTATGTATGTCAGTCACGTACAAAGCTCAAAGAAATGAACAAAAAATCAAAGTGAACAAGCGCGAGTACCAGTGTAATTGAATGAAGATTACACACTGTGCTTTACATCAACTGCAAGGTGCTCAATAGGGTGTTTTTACGCATGTGCCACCAAGGGATATTGGAAAACTTCACACCCTTCCGCCTTATTTAAACTATTACTATATTTTCAAATATTCGACATCGACAGTCATGTATACATCATACTGAACCGTGGAATATGTTAGATCCATTGCCTTAATCATACTGCCCTCATTGTCTTATTTGTCGTTGTTCTATTGTCTTCAGTGCATACATACAAGTGATTTCCACGGCTATTTGTCATATTAAATTTGATTTCCAAGTTCTTGACAATCAGCAATTCCAAAAATTATGGCTATCTTTTTAATTGTACTTCACTTCGCGTTATGGGTGACAGGTAAGTCTGCCTTTCCTTTCTTTCATCGATGGTCACGAATAAAATCCACGTATGTGAATATTCAATATCTAATCCAGGTCGACAACTGCATGTTATAAAATCGCCGTGATCGTCTGGAATTTCGTATAATGTACACGCGTTATATAAGACGCATGCGACCCATTCATATCGAACACGGCGAGGTTGGACGACTGTTGAAGAAACATTCGCAATCCTGACACGGCGTTTTAAAATAATGTATGTGTATGTCATTTTTCATCAGCAGCTATGACGTCATTCACGTCATCGACGTCTTCTACGAGCTTCTACGACCAGATAATTGATTACACATTTAGCGAGTATGATATGATGAACACTACAGACTTATCAACTGATACATCGATAGTCACAGGTAAACATGAATCGCACGCGTCTTTATACGTGTATATATATATACAGCAGAGGGTGCGGAATTTGTTGACGTACACTTTAGACTTAAAATATGTATCTAGTCAGTGCGGGCAACCTTTATAGCCACTGCACAGAGGGCGCTGTTGAAGTGATGACCAGCACAATTTGGGAGCAGAAAAATATTTTAATCAAAACAATCGTCTCAACTGTACATTTCAGTATAATTCCACATATATATTAATGCTAATAATAGGTAGTCATTAGTACGACCCTCTCTTTAACTCTTTTTACCAACATTCTCGCCTGTCTTTTCGAAGCCTGTAGGTTACTATGCGACTTGATAGTGTTCATTTCATTTGAAATAACCACACGGCTAATTAACGATCGGCAAGTGTGCATGATTTTCCGTAATGAACATAAGTTGGAGACAAAACCAAATGCTCCAGTATTGTAGAGCTAAGAATTTCTGTCAAAGGCATTCTGGTTAAAGCTAAGTTTACAATTATCACACACGTGGGATGCTGACATGTACACCACAGTTCTCTCACTCACACCAACACAGAAAACATGCACGTATGGCTTAACCTGTTCTACACACTCTCCTGCTCTACAACATTGTTTATACTCTCAAAAATTGAGTGCAGAACAAGTAATCTTGGATCTAAAATATATCCACTTACATACAAACGAATGGTTTGTTGGTATGATAAAGAAACCCAGTTTCTGGTAGGGACAATTCGTCCTTAGACATGGGAACACAACAGTGAAGACCAAGGCTGCCTACCTACAGCAGGAAAGACGTTTTTTGAACTACTGATCATCATTCACAACTCACAATGTCAAACAAATCTGACCATGCTAGCATCTTCATTTCAAATTTTCTGGTTCAGGCAGCTCCCTAATTTGGGGGGGGGGTCATGGACTCACCTTCATGTATCCTTCATCACAGAACTATGTTCTTCTTTGCTCACGGTAAGTGGCACTCCCTTCTTTGCCTTCTTCGCTAAATTAAGATTTGGTCAAGCAAATTCCAAAAATCAGGGATGGATATACTCAGCATTCTGTAAGGGTTTCCATTTGTAGGCAATATTGATGTTGACATTTAAGTTCACTTACTTGGCCAGTATCTGGTTGATGGCTTCATTATATAAATAACACTCACACAGGTTACCCACATGAAAAAAGTGTGGTGAAAATGCCGTATTTTGAAAAAAATGTATTCACGGAAAAGGGTTACACATATGTTCCAATCTTGCTGTGTCTTGTTCAACAGTGTGCAGTTGAATTATTTGCAATCGAAACCCCCGTGGATGGTAGGGTGAGGTGAACTTCTCAATACCATTGGGGTGTCTAGTATTTTCTTCGTTATCTAGTTACTGTTCGGTTTTACCATCATCACAAACTTGGAAAAGTGTATTGCATTTTTTGGAGAACGAGAAGTCCATACACACCAGTTCAATAAGCTCCCGGTAATTATACCACTCACAGATGAGTACTCTTTCTCTTATACATTGAATCATCACAGGCCAATGGAAATAATAGACACACAAAGTAAGGTTGTTGGCACAAGACAAATTTCACCAACATCATCACGTGTCCCTTTATCATCATCGCGTCATAATTTTAAGGCAGCACCAACTAGTAATGTTTTTTTTTCAGTTAGGGCATCCGATGTAAGACTCCATTTCTGGACCAGTCATTATCATTGATGTAATCTTTAATTAACATTTGCCTCTTGTTCCAAGCTTATTTAGGCTACTGCAATCTTTGCACCACAAGTTTTTGTTTCTGTAAATGCTCCCGGAGTCAATAAGATTAAATAGATTAATGACCAATCTTCATGTGTTGAAGTTGAGTTGGAACTACAGGTTGGTTGATGACTCTCTAATACTGTGTGATTGGAGTCACCTGTACACGAGCTGTTCTTTGATGAAACAACTGAAATCAGTTTATTGGGCGTCATGCAAGCCCTTGGTCATGTCGTGTTTTCATGGGCATTGTGTTTTCTAATTTCTGACACCACTAGAAGGCGTGTTGGGTTGTTTGTGGCTCGAGTCTGGATCTAGTCTCCATGAGTGATGTAATTTACCATGAGCCCCGAAGATTGACATGTGGTACTATGAGTTTGCCCTTCAGGAATACCAAATATTTTCACCACGTTCATGGCGTAGTCGAACTTATACTGAGAACAAACGTCAGAGAACCTAACATTCATTCCTCCGCATTCCATTTAATGTCTCTTTTTTCATAATTTGTGTTTTAAATCGCAGTGGCATCCATGCAGACAACAAGTATCCATCAACAACGTAAAAATGCTATTGCCACCCTATTGATTTCAATGTGGTTTTATCACTAGGCAAGTCAACATCAACATCAGAAGACAATACTAATGCTGGAAATTCACAGGAAATGACGTCAACCACTGTGACCCCACTACCTTGGGACACGACTCAATCTACAACGTCGACCACCTGGCCGCCTAGGTACACGAATATACCTACAACTGAGCAAACTACCCGGTTCAATGGTAATCAACATAAAGTTCACTATGTGTGTGTATGAGTGATTACAAATGTCAGCATTATGAAAATCTATTTATTTTTTATTTTATTTATTTAGTTTTATTTTGTAACTCAGAAAAGGGTCAATTTAGACAGTACTTGGAAAATTGAATGTTTGAACTATTTTTTTGATTTTTAAACAAGATTCACCATAACAAATTAAATTATATCATAAACAAAGGTACTTTTCCAATGAAATTAGCAATATGGCTTCGGCCATCAAACTCTATTTGGTAAACAACTATATCTATATGGGTGACAGGATGCCGCTTGGTTTATGCATTTAATTGTGGCTGTAATCGCATGGTTCATGTGACCGCTATATAAGCTTAAATTGCTTAAACGAAATAGATAAAACGCACTTAGCAATCACTTTATTTGTATTAGTCGATCGTTAATACCAAAACATAAAAACACACACTTATGGTATTAAAACATTTACCAATGGTATAAGTTGTATAATGGCCAATTGTTTATTTAATATTATACAAACATATTTATATTGTGTGCTGTAAAATATGTAAGTATTTATAGCTGAGTTTATAGTAATATTTTTTTGTTTTTTACCATTATTTAGAATTATTTGTAAACAAGCCTATTATAATATTTGTAAACAACATATGGTCTTAGTGTCAATAATTATATAAATATGGTTAAATCATATGCAATATGACAACATTTAATGCCATCCTAAAAGTATATGAGGTTGTGAAATACTATGCTATCTATGCACGTTACCTAGCAAGCTTTGCGCGTTTCATTTGTATGTCACATTCTGTCCGAGTCTGTTAGCGACTTGTAGGCTAGCTCAAATCTGAGCTACGAGGCGCATGTCACCATCTCGTGCACAAACAACAAAATGATGGCAAAGTTTTGCAGGATTTTGCGGATGTCAAATGAAATCTAGTACGAGTGGCTATAAAAAACACATCAGATAGTGTGATTTACTATGACAAAATACCACGTGACTCTCGACCAACAGGTTGTCTACTAATTCAGTTAAAGTTATCTTCATACGTTGACTGATCCGCAACAAACATGTCACTGTCTTCTGTATGTATTGTGCAGGTTATGAGACGTCATATGCAACAAAACCTAGAAATCCAATTTATTTGTAGCTTTTAAACTAAAATAATTGTGTGATCATAACAAGGAAAAATATGTTTGATTTGGTGATTAAACACAACGATTCTCATTGCAGGCAAGCTTCGGTGCTATAATCTTTTGTTGCCATGCCAACTAATTTTAATTTTGCTACCATGAATTTATCACAATAATCAGTGAGCAATCAATAACATAGCAAGTTTTAAAGCAATAATTGTCTGAATGCATGTTTCAATTGTTTTCTTTCCATTGTTTATTACGTAGACTACTATTATGGTGGCGAGGATTTCTACTGTGGTAGTCATTGGTACGTTTTCGATTATTTTGAGAACGTGCCTGTTAACGACTCCGACCCCGTTGGATATATTGGCAATGAAGCACATTACGACATATCTGTTAAATTCGAAATCGTAGAAGATGATGCATCCGATGTATTCTTTGTCGACGAGATCGGTACGATTTGGACACTAGTTGAGTTAGATCGAGAAATAGTTAATCATTACACATTCACAGTAAACATGTCTGGGGAATATTTATACAAATACGTACCAGTACACGTGAATGTACTCGATGTTAACGATAACGTACCGGTGTGGTTACAAACTACATATGCCACTGAAGTCATTGACGGAACAGTCGAGGGGTCTACCATGTTAGTGGTGTCTGCTGTGGATGCCGACACCGATTTGAACGGGCGTGTAAAATATAACGTCACACCACCATTTCATAATCACTTTGAAATGATGGACAATGCGTTGATGAGCACAATGCAGATTGTACTAGACGAGATGCAGCAGTACAGAGAGACGGAGGCAGCTATAAATGATACAATAACCGTGACAATAGAGGCATTGAACCACGACGGACAACGCGCTACAGAAGATGCCTACGTAGAAATCAAGGTACATGCTTCTATTATTATTATTATTCATAAGGTCTAGATTCACTCAAATTAAACCGGTTGTTTTTCCAAAGCCAAACAAGAAATTGAAATGCAGTTAGTTAATACAGCATTCTCATAATTTGCGCGCCCTCAAGCGACGACGCACTTCAGTGCCGTAAATGGATGTGACACCGTTTACCGCATTTACTTTGTTTTTGTTCTGTGATCGTCCGTCGAAAATGTCCTTTATAGACATTTTAGATTCTAAACGGCAAACGCCTACATAAACGGATACAGAGGTATTTCAAAGCCAATGCTTACAAGAATTGACACCATTGTAACGTCACAGCCGGCTTATCAGAAAAAAGCATATTGAGAGGTATAAAATGTCGTTGTATAAAACATCTCTGTTTTTGAAGATTACGAGAGCGGTCGAAGCGGGTTTCGGTAATGTGAGTTATCAAAACGCTGCTGTAAAAGAAAATGAGCCTAGTGGCACTTATATCACAACGTTAAAGTCGATTACAACAGTTCCAGAAGGGTATGATATCTTATACGAGTTTGCTGCTAAAGTAGATGACATTGACATTGACCAATACACGGTGAGTAATTGGTTTATATCATTCACTATATACAATAATTGTTTATGTAAAAATGTTAATTAGAGAATTCTATATAAACTCGCATTTTTGTTAAATTTATTCGAACTAAATTCTGAATTCTATTTACTTGTTATTTGTATAGTTATGCTTAATTTCAAGTATATATTTTGTTGCCACTCCAGTCAAAACGTTGATGGCGATAGTTCGTTGGTTGGCAAGTAACTCGCTACGTGGAAACCATTAAATTTCGTTTCTATTTTCAGGGGAATGTTACCACGGCAACAATACTTGATAGAGAAGACAGGGATGTATATCATTATGCCGTAGTTGGGTATCTGACTGATAGTACAAAATGCTTGGCAAACCCGGTAAGATATTTACTGTACTTATGTGAATTTGAATGTGGTAGTTGATGTAATTGTGTGCACATATTAGTGCTTTTGTGTATTTCAAACGACACTGTCGTAAGCCCCCCCCCCCGGGGGGGGGGGGCTCTCTGAATAAAATATGGTACGCAGGCTGAAGTAAAAAACACGCGTAAATGGGGTGTTATTTAGTTATTTGATGCGTATACCCGTGTATAGTAATAAAGTGTGAAAAATGGAATCTCATGAATTCATCTTACCTCCAACTTGAAAACAGAATGATTTTAGTATGTATATAGGTGATCTATTTTATGTTTCTGCACTTGAAAAGGGTATAATTTTACAAAAATAAGTACGTGTTTAGAGGTTTTGTTGAAAAGTTATACTTCAGCATGGGTACCAGGTCAGACTTGGATTACCCCCCCCCCCCTCGGTGTCGCAAAAAATGCACATATGCGTATGCGTATGCGTGGGGTATCACGCACAACAACTGATCCAACAACAATTTATGATTCAAGTAAAATGACAGGTTCACAGGTACACTGGCTATGTTGCCTGTTTAGTTTTATTCCAAATATATATACACATATACTGACGTTGACTGACGACCTTCTGTCTCAACTTAGACTCTACGCTCTGCGAATAACATGGGGGAAATGTCCGCAAATTTTGAAGGCCTACTATTCATTTTAGCTATATTGCAAAAACACATTAACACACATTTAAAAAAATTACCCTTGAAATTACAGAAAGTACCTGTATCTATATGATCCGGGACGCTCGTGTCTTGCATAGGTACTTAAACACATACATTTTCCGTATATCCTATATAATATTTAGGTTGCTGAAGAGCTGCTCATTAGAGTACTTGACGACAATGATCATTATCCCGTGTTTACGCATAACACATCGACTGGATACGTACGTGAGAACTCGTCATCTGCTCAAATTGTATCCATGGTAAGAATTTCTGTTTTGTTTTCAGTGACTTCACTATAAACAAATCAATTGTCATGATCTAAAACATGTTTAAACTAAACTGAATCCGTACAGCGGTTAATGTGATAATGAATCAGCCTAATCTGGGGCATTGTTTCACAGGTTCCTCAAATCAGCACAACGGACCTTGACATTGGCTACAACGCCGATATTCGTTACTCGTTATCCGGTGAAGGAAGTGACCAATTTGAAATCGACCCAGAAACTGGTGTTATCACAACAACCGACGAGCTTCCACAAGGCTTAGATCGTGAGGTTACTGACGAATATCATTTATTTGTCACTGCCGCTGACAGAAACGGAGATGCTCAAAATCTGAACACAACTGTGCCCATTTTTATTATTGTAACTGACATCAACGACAACGAACCAGTCTTCTATGATGAACAACCCCTGCCCATCGATATATATGAAAACGTTGAATTAAATACAAATTTGAGTAAGGTCCAGGCCGATGATAACGATGCCGGATTAAATGGTCGGGTATTATATTCGATTATTGGTGGGAGTCATGGTGACTTCAGTATCAATAAACGCTCCGGTGTCTTGTACGTATCTGGAATCTTGGATCGTGAATCTATATCATCATACGTCATAAACATTTCAGCTTATGACACTGGAAATCCAATATTAGAATCGTACACAGTAGTCACTATAGATATACTAGATATTAATGATAATGGCCCAGTCTTTAGTTCTGATTACTACATGGCGTGGATAAATGAGTCCTCCGAGATCTACACTCATGTTTTGAATGTGAGTGCGGAAGACATTGACCAGGGACATAATGCGGAAATCACGTATTCCATTAATAGCACGGATTTTGTTATAGACTCAAATACGGGTAAGTTGTTTTACCAGTTAAATAATATAATCCAATAATGTATCCGTAAAAGCCCGTGCAAGGGATTGTTTGTTCAAGGGAGTTTTCATTATACTGCCATGCGTACAGTGCAGTGGTTTCACATGACTCAGTACTCTGAAATATAATTGAATAACGAAAGCAACAGATTGATGAACAATATCATGACATGTACTTCTGTGATATCTATCCCTGTACTGTAATATTCTTATATTATTACTTGCATATTATTGTACTAATTTTAAACCACGTATACTAATTAATAATTTTCCTGTATGTTTATTGTATGCTCACACAAAAAGGAGAAATACGTACTTACAGAATGTTTGATTTTGAAAATTCTGAGGACACTAACCATGAGATTGTAGGTGAGTTTAAATATAATGTGTATTTAATAGTAATCAGTGAAGGGATTAATGAATGAATGAATCAATT